AGAGGGACCTGCCCGACGCACTCCCCAGCCCCGCAGGGGCGGAGGGAGGGGCGCGGCAGCGCCGGGGCCTCCGCCAGGGCCCTCTCGCTGGCCTCGGGGCGCACCCGGGGAGGGGCGGAGGTCTCGCGCGGCACGGGGGGGGGGGAGCGCTTGTCGGGTCGGGCGAAAGGGGGGGATAGCAAAGGAGGGGTTTGAGAATCAGCTCACGTAGCTGATTTTCCCGGCGCCTCCCGGCGCCGGAGGCGACTATGTATCGAGGAATGGGCCCCTCGGTGAGGCCGGAACCAGCTGCATGCAGCAAATTTCGTACCCCCCCCTTTCCCAATCCCCCCCTTTCGCCCGGCCCGAACGGGGTGGGGGGAGCGCTTGTCGGGTCGGGCGAACGGGGGGGATAGCAAAGGAGGGGTTTGAGAATCCAGGGCAGTTTTTAATGCATCGGATTTTCAAAGATGTAGGATTGTTAATACATGATTAATTCACTAATAAATCAATGCGTACATTCATCGTTGTTTTTGATACTGAATCCCTGCACTTGCCATACATGATCCGCACGCGGGGCATGTATCAAAAACGGCACTGTCAGCTCATGCAGCCGATTGTCCCGGCGCCTCCCGGCGCCAGAGGCGGCTCTGTGTCGAGGAATGGGCCCCTCGGTGGGGGGCCGAAGCCAGCCGCATGCAGCAGATGTCGTAACCCCCCCCTTTCCCCAATTCCCCCCTTTCGCCATCCCCCCCCTTTCCCCATCCCCCCCCTTTCCAGGGCTAGGATCGGGATAAATCGCTCCAGAGCGGTCCGGAGCGCTCTCAGAGCGTTCCGGAACGCTCTGGAGCGGCCGCGGCGCCCAATACATCCTCCAAACCCGCCGATTCTCAGAGATTTCGAGTTATCCCGATCCGAATTTGTCCCGATCTTCGCGTCGTTTTACATCCCCCCCTTTCGTCGTCCCCTTCCCCCATCCCCCCCCTTTCCCCTATCCCCCCCTCTCGTCGGGCCCGAGCAAGAGGAGGAGGAGGAGGAGGAGGAGGAGGAGGAGGAGGAGGAGGAGGAGGAGGAGGAGGAGGAGGCCCCCTTCCCCCAATTCCCCCCCCCCCTCTCCTCCGGCCCGAGCTCGGCGCCCCGCCGCGCGCCGCGGCCGCGCGCGGGGAGCAAAAGGGCCCCGCGGGCCGCCGCGCGGCGCGGAGCACCGGCGCGCCGCTGAGGAGCGGGGGGAGGGGCAGGCGGGCTACGCCCGCGCCACGCCTGACATCCTACGGGGCAATTTCCAATACATCGAACTTGTTTATAGAAGATTCTTAATACATGGTTTAATTTGGGCGCCCGAGTTATCCGGGGTAACTCGGGCCCGGGGTAACTCGGGTTCGGACTCCCGAACAACGAACCCGAGCTAGCCCTGACCCGAGATACCCCTGATGAGTTGGGGCTCTGGGCGCCCGAATTATCCGGGGTAGCTCGGGTCCGGGGTAACTCGGGTTTGGGTCCCCGAAAAACGAACCCGAGTTAGCCCTGACCCGAGTTATCCCTGATGATTCGGGGCTCTGAACAGGGCAATGTTTAATACATGGGATTTTCTTTAATAGAGGATGTTCAAGCCATGATTAATGTATGAATAAATTTATGCATGAACGCATCGTTGTTTTTAATCCTAAATCCCTACATTTTTAAAACATGATCCGCACGCGGACCCTGTATAACAAAAAACGGCACTGTACTCCTCCCAAGGAAGAACGGCAGAAACATCGGCGTTTGGCGCTCCGCGCGGACTTCTTGGACCTGGACCCCCTCCCTGGCGCGTGGAGCGCGCCAGGGGCGGCGGCAGAGGCGCCGCCGGGGGGGCCGAGCGCTTCTGGTCTCGCAGGAGAAGAAGGAGGGGGAAGAGAACTTGCAATTCGGGTCAACGTTGCCATGGACCCGTTTCTGGTGACTTCGGATGGCCCCTTCCTCCCCAAGGCGCCCTCACCCCTCTCCTTCTTCCCTCCCTTCTGCATGCTCCCCCCTCCCCCACCCTCCTCTCTCATCCTCCCTCCGCCTCCCTCTTCATCCTCCCCCCTTCCCTCCTCCCCATCCTTCATCGCTCCCTCTCTCTTCCTCCTCGTGCTTCCTCATCGGGTCTACCGAGGCGCGCGTGTGGCGGCTCCCGGGTCTGGTCAGCCCCGCTGTCAGACAATGCTGTGTCGCGACAGTCAGTCATTCCAGGAGGTGGAGGAGGTGGTGGGGAGGCTGAGGGTTATGGGTGGGATGGTTGGAAGCTGGGCGAGGGCTGGCAAATCCGTGGCTGCTGAAACGGTCTTCCCGGAAGAAAGCAACAAATTCTGAGGATCAAACTCAACGCACTAACTAGTAAACGGGCTGCTTCACGGAAAAAAGCCTGGAACTCTGCTTTAGCAACCACGGGTTTGCCAGCCGTCGCCCGGCTTGATGGGGTTGAGGGAACCTACATATTGCTGTATTTCAGGAACCGCCTGCATAAACTCTCTTTTGCCGAGCCGCCTCCGCCGCACTTATCCTCTGCTAGCCAGAACACGGGTAGCAGCCCAATAATCGCTTTTACGCACTGGGGCCAGCCAGCGCAGGCTGTGCTTGCCCTTCCACCCCCCGTGAGTACTTTTACTAAAGTTATTATTACTGTCACTACTACTACTACTACTACTACTACTACTACTACTACTACTACTACTACTACTACTACGACTACTACTACTACTACTACTGCTGCTACTACCACTACTACTACTACTACTACTACTACTACTACTACTACTACTACTACTACTACTACTACTACTACTACTACTACTACTACTACTACTACTACTACTACTACTACTACTACTACTACTACTACTACTACTACTACTACTACTACTACTACTACTACTACTACTACTACTACTACTACTACTACTACTACTACTACTACGACTACGACTACTACGACTACGACTACGACTACGACTACGGCTACGACTACGACTACGACTACGACTACGACTACTACTACTACTACTACTACTACTACTACTGCTCTCACGGCCTGTCTGTTCAAACTTGGTGGCGGGGTGTTTGATATGTTCGGGCTTGGTGGAGGTGTCCTCTGTGGTACACAGGCAGACTGTGGTCGACCACCTGGCGGGCTGTTGCTCCGCTTAGCCGCCTCTCTTCAACCTTCTCTTGCCGCGGCGCCCGCCAGAAATTCTTTGTGCTCGAAATCGCCAAACGGGTCCTTCTTTTCACACAAGCGCAACACGCATTAGCACTAAGTCTGCTCAGCGCAGAACAGAGGAAGAGTAGGAGGAGGGGGAGGAGGAGGGGGAGGAGGAGGAGAAAAAGGAAGATGAGGAAGAGGAGGAAGAGGAGGAGAAGGAAGACCCCAGGAGGATAAGACGGACCGATACGGGAACGTCGAGGAACACATGTATGTAAACTGATAGCCAGGTCTCCCCTCCTCCCTCCCTCGCTCCTGGTGGCGAAGATGAGGATGCGGAAGACCACGACAAAGACGACGAAACCCTGACGACGATGACGCGATAACGGCAGAACGTGTCCCATACCGCGTTGAAACCAAAAAGTCCAAAAACGATCCTGCAGTACCCACGTGGACGGCAAAAGAAGGCAAGACCATCTCATCAGCATCTCTATACGGCAGTAACAACTACGAAGACGGTGATGGAGTTGACGGCGGCGAAGACGTCGACGACTGAGCTGTCGCCGTTGCCGCCGTCGTTGTCCGTCGTCTTTGTCGAAACTTCTCGGATGATCGCTCAACTTTTGGGCTTGCCGGGTCCCACTGAACGGCTGGATCAGCCTCGAAACTTTGGACGGCGATGACGGCGGCGGCGATGAAGACGGCGGCGACGGAAACCGCGGACCCCAGGATCATGCAACACACACACACACACAACACACACACACACACGAGCACGAGAGAAGCTCCGGCGGACCTGCGAAGGACCCCCTGAAGGTTGACGAGGTCAAGGGAGAAAGATGGGCTGGGGCTGTTATCATATTGCGTAGTTGTGAAGGAGGAGACTGAAGAGAGGAGGAAGAAGAGGAGGAAGAGGAGGAGCAGGAGGAGGAGGGGGAGGAGGAGGGGGAGGAGGAATAACAAAAAGGAGGAGCAGAAGGAGGAAAAGGGCCGGAGGAGGAGGAGGAGGACTAGGAGGAAGAGGAAAAAACAGGAGGAGAAGGGGGGGGAGGAGGAAGAGGAGGAGGGGGAAGGGGAGGGGAAGGTGGAGGAGGAGGAGGAGGAGAGGAGGAGGAGGAGGAGGAGGAGGAGGAGGAGGAGGAGGAGGAGGAGGACGAGGAAAAAGAGGAGGCGGACGAGGACGGGGAGGAGGGGGAGGAGGAGGAGGAGGCGGAAGGGGAGGAAGGGAACGAAGGAGAAGGTGGAGGAGGTGGAGGAAGAATGATGGGGATGAGGGCGAAATGAAAAACGGAGAAGGAGAACTCCGACGACCGCCTTCGACGGCGAGAACGAGGACGCCGGCCGCGGGGACTTGGCCGCGGCAGCGCCTCCAGGGCGCTGGCGGCCGCCGCGCTCGCCTCCGCGGTGGCCGCCACCGCGGCCGCGAAGCCCTGGGGCTCGAAGGGGGCCCAAGGGGGGAGGCGTGCGCCGCGCACGGAAACCAGAGCGAGGAGGATGGGGGCTCAAGACTCGCATGTGAAGTGGTGGGTGCAAGCAAACGTTTTCAATATAGCGGAAGGTGAAGTAAAGAACCATGTTTGCGATGGCTGTAGAACGGGTGCGAAAAGGGATCCTTTTGAACCAGACGCCCATGGGGAACTTGGCAGTTGCCCGCTAACATTCGGCGGTTGTACGTGTGATAGCTGCCCTGCTACCCGATAGCCTACCGTTTAAGTCTGGTGCTCAAGCGGGCCCGTCGTGTCTCGCGGGCAGCCCGGATGGAAACCGTCCAGAACACCACGAACTGACCAAACAGCTTCGGCGCAGGACAAGGCAAGGCATGGGTTCTACTGGCCACCCCTCTCATATAAAGTTGCAGTGCAGGGGCGGGCCTTCTGCTGACCAGGATCCTTACACAAAATGCACTGGCAGCATACATTTAGCAGCGCGAACAACCTGACAACTGACCTGCTGCCTCTCGGACGTAGATCGAGACGACAACCCTTCAATAGCATGATGACTGCTTCGCAGTCGCGGACACAATTCACGCCATGCGGGGAACTGCACTTATCTCACTTTCTGTGCCGGCCTGTATTGCAGCCGAAGCACTTGAAGTAGAAGACATATGGCCGTGTCGCAGTTTCGAACACAGTTCGCGAGATGCTACTCTGATTTGCATTCGGGAACACCTTCTTCGGGAGATGCAGCGACAGGTGGCTTAGCTTGTGGCGTCGTCGATCTTGTTGCTCAGGTCGCTGCATTGGGAACTCGGCGCCGCGTACTTGTGCCGCTCTTTGCTCAACCTCACCGCGGGGCACGCGTAGGCGAAGTCCCCTCTCATGATGTCGAGGATGAGCTCCTGGCAGATGTTTCTTTTCGTCATGGGGTCGGGTCTCACGTCGCGGGCGTCGCACCACGGTATGCCGGATAGCTGTTTGGCGCGCGTCTGGTCTGCGTGCCACCACAGGTGGCCTGCTACGCTATTCTCTGATGGCGGGGGCATATAACTAGTCCATAGCCAGTTGCGGACAAAACGGACATGCCGTCCACAACCAGCTCGGCCGGAACAGCGCACCCCCCCGTCATCCCTCAGCCTCCTGATTTCATCTGCTGAAGCGGGTCCGCGCACAATCTCGCGGGGCCGTCTGCTGCTCCACCTGCTGAGAGCATCTCTGCGCCAAGTGCTAATATACCGGCAAGTTTGTGCGATCTGCTCACAACGCTACGCTTGAACGAGCAGTCGCTGTGCGCGCAAACCTGACCTGTGCAATCCATCGCCAGGAAAACGACGCGCGCCTTGATCCCCGGCGTGGCCAGAACAACGGAGTTGAGCTTCCTCCGGCAACTTCTTCACTTCTTTCTGCCCGCCCCTCCCCGCACTCCTTCCTCCGAGGCGGAGCATTGTGGGAGGGCGAAGGGCTGGGGCGCAAGGAAGAGGAAACGGAGTGGGAGTAGAAGGGGTGATATAGATGGAGGAGGCGGCGGAAGGGAAGTTTTTTCCCACCGCGCACCCAAACCAATCCCATGATATCCGTACAAGCGGCCCGCGTGGGGCCTAGGGCAACTCCCCTGCGCGCCTGGTGCCAAGATTGCCCCCTGCAGTAGTCGAGCTGCCCCGGAGATGAGGCCCTTGCCAAAACCACCAGACTGCATACCCAAGCTAAGCGGCTATGGGCACGAACTTGTTGCGCGTTGACCAGAAGTGCTGCCTCAAGATGACCCGCGCGCCGCAGTCGGTGCCCTGGTCCTTGTAGAACTTGTACTCGCAGTGGTGGAAACCGTAGCCCCGTTCCACGACGTCGCCGCCCATGTCGTCGCCAACGCACTTCCACCTGACCCTCGCAACGTTCGGGATCAACGGGCTGCTAAGCTGGTAGCCGTCCGCGGAAGGCACTTGTCGTCCATGGGGCTGCCCGCGCCGCCCTCGGTGCTGCCCGTGCCGTCCGTGTAGCGGCCCGCGTCGTCGAAAGAGCAGTTGCCCGTGGAGCTGTCCCTGCCGTCCGTGAAGCCGTTGCCCTTGCCGTCCTTGGACCTGCCCTTGCTGTCCGTGGAGCTGCCCTGGCCATCAGTGGAGTTGTCCCCGCCGTCCTCGGCGCTGCCCGTGCTGTCAGTGGAGCTGCCCGCGTCGGCCAGGAACCAATCGCCCTTGAAGTATCCCCTGCCGTCCGTGAAGCTGTCGCCCTTGCCGTCTTGCCGTCAATGGAGCCGCCCTTGCTGTCCGCGGGCATGTCCTTGCCGCCGCCCTTGGAGCTGTCCTTGCCGTCAGAGGGTGTTGCCTTTGCCGCCCGTGGAACTGTCCCCGCAGCCCGTGCAACTGTGCTTGTCGTTCGTGCAGCTGCCCTTCCGCCCGTGGAAATGCCCTCGCCGACATTGAGAGCTGCTCGTGCGGTCCGTTGGGTTGCCCTTTGCCGTCCTTGTCGCTGCCCCTGCCGGGCGAGGAGATGCCGTAGCCGCGCAGGTCGTAGCCGTCCTGGTCGGGGCCGCTCGTGCCGCAGGTCATCCTGGCCCACCAGAGCCTGGGTCATCGAACCGCACTTGAAGACGCCCGAGGTCAACTCCAGCAGCGTCCGCGTGTTGAGCCAGCCTCTCGTGGGCCCCTGCCGCACTGGTGGGGCACGCGGTGGCCAATTCCCACACGAGCCGGCCAGTGACGTTCATAACGTACTCCTGGGCGAGGTGCCTGCCACCTTTGCGCGCGAGGCCGAGGGTGTTCAGCTGCCGGCTGAGCTTCGGGTCGAAAGCAGCAGGCGCACCTCGCTGCCGTACATGCCACAACCCATACACGTCGGTCGGAAGAAGTAGGTAGGAACATGAAGTAGGAAGGCGGATATAGGTGGAGTGGGTCCAGGTCCTCCCAGAGAATAACAAAACACAGCAAAAGCATGCCGATTCTTGAAATAGGAAGGCGCTTGAAGTGGATTGGGATCCGGGAATCCAAAAATACCTACTTCCGACGACCGGCGCGTATGACTCCTAGCAGAGACGTGCCGCTGCTGCGCGGCGGCAGTCATCTGCAGAGCACTGGACTCGAAGTCGCCGAGGAGCTCTGACGTCGTGTTAACCTTCGGATGCCTTCCCATCGCCAGCGAGGGGGGCGATGGGCAGGGTCCGACAACAAGGTTCGGGCTTGGATGAACCGAGAGGGGCTTGAGCCCTCATGGCTACGGAAGGAGGCGGCGTGGGAAAGGCAGGGCGAGGGGGATGCGGAGGGAGGGACACGGAACAGGAGATGAGGAAATTCTGGCGGGCTCTCAAACAGATGTCGGGCGTTCCAGCGGGATCTTGAGGGTCCCAAGAGGTCTTCCCAGAACACCTCCCTGGCCCTGGTCCGCGGCGCAGGGACGAGGAGGTGGTTCCCGAAGGGTCTTTGAGACTGCGGAGGTCGCCAGCGGATTTTGAGATTATCTCGTGCCTCTTCCATCCCATTCTGCCTCCTCCAGCATGCTCCCTCCCTCCCCTTCCCTCCGTCCCTCCCCCCTCCCTCCTCCACGTTCCTCCTTCCTCCACCTTCTCCTCCATCCCACGTCCACCATCCTCATTCCCTCCGCCCTCCTTCCGTCTTCCTCTTCCTTCGCTCTTCCCTCCCCCTCCTTCTTCTCCGATCCACTCTCCACCTATGTCGCTCCCTCATCACCTTCCCCTTCCAACACAAGCGTCAAACGTGGAGTAGAATAATGTTGTTCCGAAACTCCAAGGACCACATCCCAAAAAGAATTTCGATCACCCAGGAAAGTGTCGAAACAGTGTCGAACGAGTATCGCTTCCCAGGGCCGGACTCGTGACGACCCTCAAGTTTCGGTACTCTCTTGGTGCTCGAAATTCTTTCTGGTGGTCAAGGCTAAAGTAGGTTGGAACATAATAGAAACGCCCAACATCTGTTAGAATTCTCAGCAAGTCACCCCCCTGGCAACCGAACCGAGACACTTAGCCTGCTCAAGGCCCTGTCGATGCCAAGCCAGAATTATACTGACTCGATCAGAACAAACCAGGCTAACGGCCGGGCGACACGCGAAATGGCGTGCAGCTGTGTCGGCAATGCCAAGGACCGCGCCCCACTCTCCATGAGGAATGCGGCCGGCTTTACAACCAAGAGCGCCAGTCCCGAGCAGGCAGGTGGCCTTCTCTGAGGCGGCAACCCCATGACGAGCAGGGACACACGAGGCGAGACCGCCATTCACACTCGAGGATGCGGCCGGCGCTCGGGGACGCGGCTGTAGAGCCAAAGCGAGGGCACGGAACCATTCCTGGACGGCGGTGCGGCTGGCGCAGGAGGGGCGTGGCAGATCCCAGCCAATCGTGTGCAACGAGACCGCCATACGCATCAACTGTTGGCGCTCCGCGCGGATTTCTTGGATCCGCGCTGGGCCCCCCGACCTGGTGCGCGGAGCGCGCCAGGGGCGGCGCCAGAGGCGCCGTCGGGGGGGGGGGGCGGCGTGGATCCAAGAAATCCGCGCGGGGCGCAGAAAGTTTATGTTTGTGCCATTTTCTCTTCTTCGAACTGAAGGCAGCCAACAGTGTACGTGGCATGATGGCGAGGGAGAGGAGGAGGAGGAGGAGGAGGAGGAGGAGGAGGACGACGACGAGGTGGAGGAGGAGGACGAGGACGATGTGCCCAACACTCTCAGCAAGAGCAGCTGCCCGCGCCAGGAGCGCGCCTGGCGCTCCTGGCGACCTCGTCCCCTGGGTCGGGGAGCGCCCCTCCGAGTCCGCGGCGTCGGGAACGCAGCTGCTTGGGCATGGGGCTGGCGCTCAGGCGAGAGCACGATGCCAGTCCAGATGCGGCCGGCGCTCTGGCGAAAACGAGAATCCGAGACAGCAGCGCGGGTGGAATGCAAAGTCCCGAAGTCTTCTCAGGTCTACGGTGCTGGTGGTCTCCAGGGTCTGGCCCAGGTTACGTAGGGTGAAAAGGTTAGGAACCCTCACAAAAAACCGCGCCCTGAAAACCCGCTCGCGACGCGCACCTGAAGGGAAACCCGGAGCACACTGAACGCAACAGCCGCAACGGCCTCGGGAAGCCACCGCGCAGCGCGCGGAGCGAAGGCACCCAGGATACCCTGACGGGAAACATCTGGTCTCTTGGTGCGCGCCCCCACTGCACGATCAGCTGACGAGCCTCTTTCTAAAAGTCTTTACCTCCCCCGTGTGTTCGGTACAGTCACCCTGTACCATAAGGATGCGCGGTAAGGATGCACCGGCCTTGGAGGCCCATGTGAACGTTTTTCGAACGAAGTTGGCCAGCGAAAGTCGCTAAGAATGCGCGGACGGGGCAAGGATGCAAGGGCACCCTCGGGAAGGGTGCCCATCCTTACTGTGCGGGTTGACTGTGACCGCCCCGGGCTTCCTCCTTCGCCTTGGAGCCCGCTTCGATCTTCGCCCCCAGGTCCGCCAGCGCCTTCGCGACGGCTTCCTGGCGGCCGCGGGCGCCGGGTCGCCCAGCGCGGGGCGGCAGGTCAGCGGGACGAGGCGGCCCGGGGGGGGGGAGGGGGCGGAGGAGGATTCACGGGGAGAACGAGGTCTCACTGGGAGAGTGAGGATTCGCGAGGATTCCTCCCGCTTGCCCCTGCGTTCCTTTCCGTCGAGGGCAAGGAGCGCAGGGGCAAGCAGGAGTGAAGGGGCCCTGGGACACAACAAATACACACACATAAAAGGATTCTCCATATTTCCAGGGTTTCTGTCTTCCCCACCACTGCCCATATTTTCCCATATTTTCTGGGGAATCGACGATTCATCGTGTCTGTGTCTTTTCTCCTCCTGAAGGAGGAGGGTGAGGGAAAAGAGAGAGAGAGAGAGAGAGAGAGAGACGGGAGGATGAGGGGGCCACCGGGTGAGGCAGGGAGGGGCTCTCTAGAGACGGGGAGAGTGAGGATTCGCGAGGCTTCCTCCCGCCTGCACCTGCGTTTCCTTCCCTCGAGGGCCAAAAACGCAGGGGCCACGAGGAGGATGGGGGAGCGAGAGTTAAGCAGGGACCGACCGTCCCGGCATTTCTATAGTCCTACCACGCAATGTTCTTAGAACCCAAAAATGATCTAATAACAAAAACAATGTTCTTATAACATAATCCCGATGTGTTGAAACAAGACAGTCCCAGCGAGAAATGTTCTAAGAACAGTTCGTGGAAAGTTCCTAGAACATTGTTTGGTAGGGCTATAGGCGAGCCAAGACGCTTCGCGACTGCTTGATAGAGAGAGAGAGTGGGTTGGTTGTCCCCAAACGTGGTGGTGACAACACCTGGCGGTGAGTCTCGGGCGATTTGGTGTCACCACCCGGTTTGGGGACTCGTGCGGTTTTCCGAGGATGTCCCGGACGCTGGTGGCTCCAGGGGTCACAGGACCCGGTGGTGACCCCGCGTCCCCAAACCCAGCGGTGACCTTTTTGGGGATTCCAGGTCGCCACCTGGGTGGAGGAAGAGGAGGAGGAGGACGAGGAGGAGGACGAGGAGGAGGAGGAGGAGGAGGAGGACGAGGAGGAGGGAGGAGGAGGAGGAGGAGGAGGAGGAGGAGGAGGAGGAGGCGGTGGTGTCTCACCACCCGGTTTGGGGGTTCCCCAAGAGGGACGGGGGGATGCAGGGGCCGCCGGGCGAGGCAGGGAGGGGCGCCCTCCAGAGACGGAGCTCCGACGGCGCGCGGGGCGCGCCCCCACGTGCAGCCCGCCACGGCGGGGAAGGGGGGGGGGGCCCACGGCAGGAGGCGCCCCGCCTGCCCTCATGGGGTGCCCATGGGGGCTCCCGGGGCCTCGACGGCTCTGCTGCGGCAGGCGGGGCCTCGCCGCGCCAGGAGGCAGTCGACGTCCTGGGGCCCGATGTGGACGCCCGAAGTGGGTGCGGAAAGAGTGGGCACGATGCCCAACGACAAATGTTGTCCCAAACCAACAGCGGCCGCTGTTGGGTAGGCGGCCTCCCGTCTCGAATGGACGCAGGCCGCGGCGGCGCGGACAGCGAGTCCTGTTCGAAATGAACAGGATCCGCTGTTGGACTGACCCTGCCGCGCCAGGCAGCAGTCGACGTCCTGGGGCCCGAGAGTTGGACTCGAGCTCCTGCTGTGTCGAGCCGTCGTGCCTGCACGCGAGGTGGAGGCACGCCGAGGCGACGTTGCGTCGGCGTGGCGAGGGCCGGCAAGGCCAGCAGAACATCATCTCAGGGCCCGCGGCGGCTCGTCGTGGCTGTCCCACGGCAGCTCCGTGGTTGTCCCGCGGTCGTCCCCGGGGCTCTCCTGTGTGATGGGCCGACGTTCCATCACCATTGCCACAGGTAGGAGAAGGAGGAGGAGGAGCAGGAGGAGGACCTCCCCATCCTCCCTGCTCCCCCGTCCTGACCATGGTAGTGGTGGTGGTGGTGGGAAATTCGCCCATCACTGTGGTTGTCCCTTGGGCTGTCCCGTCGTCTCGGTGGGTTGATTCCATCGGTTGGAAGTGCGCCAAGATCACTACCACACTCATCAGCATCAAGAGCCCTGCACGTAGATCATTAGGTACATAATGTCTTAGTCAGCTGAGCCGCCACATGGTTATCTAACAAAACCGTTCGCTATTGAGGAGGACGGTGACATGGCTCGATTAACAGGAAAGTAGCTAGATTGCCAAAACCGACGCGAAACCAATCGCAAACTGAAGCAGTTCCTCAAGCCACCCCCAACCTCTTCAAGAGTGGCCCGACTCCAAGATCGCCCACGCGAGGCCCAAGAAGGACCCATGAAGGCTCCAAAGCATCCCAGGAGCGTCCCAAGGGCGCCCCAAGAGTGACCCAAGAGACTTCCAGGAGGGGATTTGTAGAGCTGCAGGGGGGGGCACGGGGAACCCTGTGCAGGCTGCTCAATACAAGATCTCCTTTGACAAAACACAAAGAAACAACAGCATGTGGTACCTCAGTGATGTTGACCAATCGGGGGCATCCTTCATAAGCCTTGGGGCCACCATGGCTGCTGGATGAAACCAGATACACTAAGGACTCCAAAACATTGCCTAAGATGGCTTAGGATGGCCTCCAGCATGCCTCTCAGAGGTCCAGATATGGCCCCAAGATGGCCCCAAGTTTCCTTGGAGACTCCCAAATGCTGTCCCTAAGGTGTTGTTTTGTTTTCTCGCCGTTTCGCTGCCCAGGCATCAAGATGGCTCCAAGAGAGCGTTTCTTTATGCTCGGCGACGAGCGACGAGCGACGAGCGACGAGGACGACGACGACGAGGACGACGCGAGCAAAATGTAGGTGGCGATATGCCCCACTGCGCCTTTGTACACATCGCTCGCGTGCACCACAACGCGCGCGAACACCACAACACATGCGTACACCGCAAGAACCGTGTGCAACGCAGCGCCTGTGTACACCACAGTGCTTGCGTACACTACAGCGCCGGTGTACATGTGTACACCGCAGCAACCATGTGCAACAGAGCGCCTGTGTACACCACAATGCTTGCGTGCACCGCAGCGCCTGTGCACGCCACAGCGCCTGTCTACACCACAGCATCAGCGTGCAACGCAGCGCGACTGTACACCAGTGCCTGCGTGCAGGACAGTGCTGATAATCGAATGCGACGTTCTTCCCTCTTCCCTCCACCTCCACCTCCACCTCCACCTCCACCTCCTCCTCCTCCTCCTCCTCCTCCTCCTTTTCCTCCTCCTTTTCCTCTTCCTTACCGCCTGCCGTGCGGGGCAGCGCTACAGCGCACGTGCGCAATTCATCACGCAGTGCACCGCATTATGGACTATTGAATCGGTCCACTTGGTTTTCGCACGGCCAATTTCGCTGGAGCCTCCTGGACGCACATGGGAGAAGTTAGGGCGATGCGGGCGGACTCGGGGGAACTCGTAGATTCCAGCGGCGCTCCTTTGTCTATAAGGATTCCTTTGTATTGCTTCTGATGGAATCCACAAGCGCTCCATTTTGTCATACGGCTTCCTTCTAACATTCGATGTGCAAGAGTGGCGCTGTGTTGCACACGGTTGCTGTGGTGCACACAGGCACCGTGGTGTACGCAGGCACTGCTATGCACACAGGCATTATGGCGTACACTGGTGATGTGTTGCACACGGCTGAGTTGGTGTACGCAGACGCTGCGGTATACACAACAGCTTTGTGCCCGCGAGCACGGTGGCACAAACTGACGCTGTGTTGCACGCGGCTGCCGTGGTGTACATAGGCGGTGTGGTGTACACAGGCGCTGTGGTGCACGCAGGCACTGTGGTGTAGACAGGCGTTGTGGTGCAGATCGCCACCTACATGCTGGCGCTACCCGTCCTCCGTCACTCCTGAGCATGCCCAGACGCCGCCGGCGCGAAACGTCATGTCATCGACCCCCTCCACACCCCCTCAGATAATTACTGCGATCGGCCCGGAACAAATAACAGGCTCCAGCAGCGTCCGTGCGCACGACGACGATGAGCGACGAGCCACGAGTGATGACGACGACGACGACGACGACGACGACGACGACGACGACGACGACGACGACGACGACGACGACTGCGGACCAGACTCCTATGCGGATTCTTACGCGGGCACCTACGCGGATCCCAGCGTGCACGGCGGCAGAACCCGGATCGCACTGAGGGGGGAGCGTTACGTCATAGGGGGGGGGAGCGGGGGCCGTGACGCCCGTCATGCCACAAGCAATAAAGAAGTGGTCTCCAACTATAGATCTACGACGGGCCCAGACATAAGAGTACCCCAAACCTTAAAAGGAGAGATGTCCAGCTCCGACGGGGGAGGAGGTAACTAGTGCCGCCCCAACCCAATATTTGATCGATGTCCTCCACGATGGCCCCAAAGGCCTCTGAGAGGGCCCAGGAAACCACCAAAGGCCTACGTACACATTGGCCCCAACAGCGCCCAAATGTAGTCCCCAAGAAATCTTCAAGTGGCTTACATACCGAAAAGGGGCACGACGGCCTTTCAGGTTGACTGATTGGTCTGATCAGGCTGATTCCGAGCTTCTGCTTGAAGACTGCTCCGCCTCGCTGCCGCCGGAGCAACCTGGGGAAACCATGGGAAAGGTACCGATACCGCTACTCCCCAGACCTCTCCCGGGGCGCGCTCTGACCGGGATTTCGCGGCGAATGCAGCAGTGGCGACGAAGGCCTCGCAAGAGGCCCAAAAAGGGGAAAACGGGCGAAGGGTAGCGGTATGGGCACCTTCCCCTCCTTTGAGACTCAGAGCGTCGATCCGAGCCCTGCTGTCCCAGCCAGCCTGTCTTCGCAGGTGCTGTGCAGCTGCTGCCTCCTGGCGCTGCTGCTGCTGCTACTGGAGGAGGCCGGCCTGGCTGCTGCCGCTGGAGCGGCTGCAACGGTGGAGCTGGAGGTGATGGGCCTGTTTTCCACTACCACTACCATAAGTAGGAGGGGGGGATAGGGGGTCCTCCTCCTCCTTCTCCCTCCTCTCCTCCTCCTCCTCCTCCTCCTCCTCCTCCTCCTCCTCCTCTCCCTCTAACTTATGGTAGTGGTAGTGGAAAACAGGCCCATCAGGAGGACTGGCCCTGCCGCTGGAACTGCCGTGGGTGGGTGGCGACATCCGAACCCGACCCCCACCATCCATCGCGTCTGCTGACTCGATGGGAAACGGGGGTTTAGGGTTCGGATTGCGCCACGTGCTCGAGGAACTCCGAACTCCGCCCCCGCCGCCCATCGAGTTGCCTGAATCGTTGATCGGCACGGGTAGGGTTAGGTGGGGCATGTCCTTATATAGGCAGACTTTGGACGAAAACTAAGACAAAGAGTCAACAAATACCCCAAACATGATAAAAAGAATAATCGAAACATAGTCCCCTGACAATTGTTTTACTATCTTTGAGTATTCCTCCTGTACAGTGCGGGCGCGGCCGCAAGAAACCCTCGCAAGAAACCCAACCCTGAGAACCCGTGCGCGAGGTGCACCTGAGAGGAAACGTGGAGCACCCTGAACGCAGCAGCTCCTTCAACGGCTGCGGAAGTCACCGCGCAGCGCGAGGAGCGAAGAAACCCAGGATACCCTGACGAAAAGCATCTGGTTTCTTGATGACCGCCCCCACTGCAGAGGGACATGCCCGACTGAAGGGGTCGGGTTCGGACTTCGCCGCCGAGTGGACGCGAGGGAGGGCCGCAGCAGACGCCCCTGCAGCCGCTGCAGCGGCTGCCGGAGGCTGCTGCGGCTGGTGCGCCTGCTGGCGATGCTGCTGCAGTGCAGGCGGTGGAGGAGCAGGAGGTCGGACACCTCGTAGCGGCTTGCCTGAAGCTGCATCGTGTCCTTGAAGGCCTGTTCAGACTGTTTCCCAACACGTGTGCCCTGAAGCTCTCCAGAAGCTCCTTCCCAGAGCTTCCGGCGCTCCTTCGGAGGACCTCCCAGAAGCTTCTGTCGCCTCGCTGTCCAGGTTCTGGACACCACAGCTTGTGCGGGCGGTGGAGGAACAGGAGGTCGCGCCGAATCGTTAGGTCGGGCATGTCCCCTACAGGCGGATCTTGGACGAAAGGTTAAAAGTAGCCAAACAGATTCAAAAGATGCTCAAACATACTTTATAACAAAATCGTCCCCACATCATTTTTGTACAATTTTTGAAGATTCCTCCTGTGGAAGGACACGCCCGACTTACAGGTGCCGATGTCGCTACCCCCTTGACCACTCCCGGGGTGGGTTCTGACGGGGATTTCGAGGCGAATCCAGCGGTGGCGACGAGGGCCTCCCAGGAGGCCCGGCGTCGGTTCCCGACGCCGCAGGGATCGTTCGGCCTTGAACGATCGGCCGTTCCCGAAACGTCAAGGTCGTTCAACATCGACCGATTGTGGGCCGCCGCCGTCCTTCATCTTTGGGCGCCAGCGGCGGAGTCGCCGCCGGTCGACACGACACGAACCAACCGTTATTCACGAGCTCACAGCGTTGGCCTCCAACATGGACTGGCATAGCAGAGCGCAAGCGTGAGCAACAGAGTGCGCCGACCAGCTTCGGATCCTCAGCGCTGTCGCTTTGCGAAGAAGGGAAGACTCACGAGCCGCCTGTTGCTCTCCACACCACCATCACCAGCATTTAACGCTCTGAAATTGGCACCGCACATGGGGGTGCCTCCACCAGATGAGGGTGATCCTAGATTCTGGTGCTGGTGATCATCCTCTGGCCACCTAAAGAACCCGAGAATTGTCACCATCGTCGAGATCGGGATCATCTTCACTTGGTGGAGGTACGCCGCCAATATTGGTGTTGGTGCCAACCTCCAGGTTTCCGAAACAACGGAATCTTCACCAGGGAAGCGGATACAGTGGAGACCAGTCCACAAGAAACCTTCCACAAAAAAAAACAACCCTGAGACCCCAAAACGTTCCTTGATTCTTGTTGTGGGGACGTCATCCTTTCCATCGCAAAACCATCGAAACCAAAGAAACCCGGGACATCCTGGAGGAAGGCAGGGTGCTTCTTGGCATGGCCCCCCCCTGTAAGCGCCAACGCCCTGGCGGCGGGTCCGCCCTGGCGGCCGCGGAGCAGCCCCATGGAGCTGCAGATGCTGGCGGGATGGCCGCCGCGGCGCCCAGCCTCTCGCATGCGCCTCCTCTCCTGCTCTTCCTTTCCCTTGCCCCCCCCGCCCCCCCCTCCTCCTCTCCCTTCTCTCCCCCCCTCGTCCTCCTCCTTTCCCTCTTCCCCCCCCCTCCTCCTCTCCCTCCTCCCCCCTCATCGCCCTCGTTCCACCCCGTCCTCCTGCCCCCGCCCCCCCTCCTTCCCTGCTGCCCGCCCCGCCCTCGCCCCCGCCGGGCCGCGGGCGGGCTCGCCGCGAGCAGGTTCACCACGAGGCCGTCGAAGGTGCTGCGGTCGCCTTTCGCCTTGCCGAGCGTCGAGGAGATGTTGTCGAGCGTACCCTCCTCGGGTCGGGCCGGGGGCCGCCAACTGCACACTGCACGTCACGCTTGCGCCGCTCCTGGCCGGGCCAATCCTGGAACCCTGGGCCCGGAACGCTTGTCCGCCCCCCGTGCCTGGGCCCGATCGTCCGCCCGCCGAGACCACTCTCCCTGAAAGCCGCTGATGTTCCCTCGGGCTCCCCCGCCCCAAAGCACGGCTGCGGGACGGGCCGCAGGCCATGAGGTACACACGCGCGCCAATCCTGCCCAGGCCAACGAAGGGACAAGGATCGGTGCACGTCTGCGACCCACATGTCGGCTACACTCAAGAACGACCCTAGGCAAGAGTTGCCTTTGGCGACAGGCTCTGGGCGGCCGCGGAAGGGCCAAACTCGACCGCACGCGCCACTGCTGGGGGGGCTCATCAGGGCCCGCACCAAACACCACCTTGGCGCAGGGCTACTCTCACGCGTAGCCGACTCCCTAGCTCGACCACGAGCACGCATGTAACGAACCTTCCGATGGCGGGTCCCCGAACATGTGGGCGTCCCCAGCCAAGACTCGCACCGGCCGTGCTCGCCCCGTTTCTGACACAACGGCGGCAATCCTCCTCTCCCTCCTCCTGGCGCTGGTGGCCGTTAGTTTTCCTTGAATTGCGAACTGCTGTCATCGCCACCTCCCTGCTCGCACCGGTGTGGTGGACACGGAAGGGCATTCTTAGAACGGCTGGTCAGGGGACGGAACCCCTGGACCACAGCCGCCAGTCGTGCCCATGCGTCGGCGTGGCGTCGACTTCACCGACCCCTCATCGTTGGATGAGATCGAAATGTGGTCGGGATTATCGCCTGGGTCATCCTCCACGTCGGACGAGATCGCGTACGACTGCTCTACACCAAATGGTACTGGTGCCACGTCCCGGTTACTTGAGCCATACCTATCAGCGTCATCGCAAACCAGGTCCTCGCCCGCTCTAAGCGCATTGCATGAGAAACGTCCACCGACAGCGGGAAGTTCATGCCGACGCTTCGCGAGGGACGTGAATCGAGGCCCTTGACACAGTCAGGGAACGTAAAGACGATCTCACTCGCCCCTTAAGCCGCGGTGTTGCTCATGGATGCCAAGCGCATCGTTCCTTTAGTCGGGAAGCACAGCCTCCCGGTATCGTGGAATACTTTTTGCGGATGATAACCACTGCTCCGCGTGATCCCCATGGGATCTTGCAGCAGCTTCGTACGGTTAATTGGTGACTGATGTTGTTGTTGGTCGTTTTCAGGCTCATTTTGCTCAAAATGTTGTGTGGGATCGCGGCGAATAGACGACGCACTTATGGCCATGTCTAAAGCGTAGTGTCCGCTGAATGTGTATATGTACGTGCGTAAGCCGGCTGGCTGGCCGAAGGGGTGGGAGGAGGCCGCGGGGACCTTTTTTTGATGCGCGAGCACATGCGGAAATATTTGTTTTGTGTTCTCTCTCTCTCTCTCTCTCTTTCCGCAGAAAGCCCAGCCAACCCATACTTGAAAGGAAGTGGCGGGGGAGGTAAACATAGCGATGCGAGCGGGAATAAATGGGAGAGATAACAGCAGCAAGGCGGAGGAGGATTCTGAGGGGCCGCGTCGAGGCCTCGGGGGAGCCCCTGGCGGAACTTTTATGCCGCAGCGCGGCGGGCGCAATCCGCGCGCACGTCTGTGCGAGAGTGGGGCACGCTGGCGCGAATTAGCCCGCATGCCAAAGGGGGGCGAGAGAAAGAGAGGCGAAGGGGCGGCAGCAGGGGAGGGGGAGGACCCCAGGATAAACAAGCGCGTCCCACGACACGCAAAAGCAACTGCTCGCAAATGGCCTGGCTCCGCCGAGGAGGATGATCGGCCCACTACATCAAGGGGAACATCGTTTGGTCAGACGTTGCGAGCAGGCTCTACGCGGGTCGTGGAATGCGGTTGGTGCCAGGAGACCATGCGCAGCAGCACCGACCCCACGAACCGCCTCCCCCCCCCTTGGGTCGGGAGCGCGCACACATGGATTAACAATCCGTGGATTTGGCGCGCGGTCGCCAAATCCATGGATCGAGGGAGGTGCCCTCCCCAAACGGCGGCCGGCGCCGCCTCGTTCGGCGGCGGAAAACCGCGATCTTCAATGGAAACGGGGCCCGTCGCTAATCCACGCCCCCTTGATCAATGTTTCCCATCCCCCTCCTCTTTCTCCTCCTCCTCCGCCTCCTCCTCCTCCTCTGGAGCCTCTGGGGCCTCCGGAAGGTCATTCCCGCAGCGCACCGCAAGAGAGCCGGAACAACGAGAACAAATTCATCCTGAAGGGGAACAGTGGATGAGGAAATGGCGACCAATGAACAACTTCGTCGTCGGATTCTTCTCCATCTTGAGCTGCTTGAGAGCCCCCCCCCCGCTCTCCAAGTCCTGACTGCGGGCAGCGGGCGGCAATTTGTTTGGCCTGGCCCGTGGCGCACGCCCCGCACTTGTCGCAGTGGAATGTGTCGCCCGCCGCCCAGAGTCTGTGGGATTCGTGAGACCTACTGACTTTCTTGGGGGCCCCAGGGCTAGGGGGGCTGACAACTCGATCCCGACGGGCAGAGGTAACCCCACGCTCCCTGCAGCCCCAGAGCCGCCCTTCATCATGGACAAGGTGACCTTTGTCACCTCTCGCAAGTCTGATAGTACACGCAGGGTCGCCTCCAAGCTGTCTTGGGGGTACAATTTTGGGGTTCCTAATTCTAGACACATCTGGAAGCCCTACTCGGCTCAGCTGACACAGGTCACTCCCCAGCAGCCTGGCGAACTGCTTGGCATACTCCTCGGCGCTCCTCAAGCGCTTCTGAAGGTTCGGGGTCCTGTGATTGGGATGCTGGATGGCTCCTAACTTCGCGCACTTTTCAGCCAGGGCGTTGCCAGGGAACCGCCGAACAGGATATCCTTTGTTCCCGAGCCACGTCCGAGTCTTGTGCGACGGCATCCAGACAACTTTGACGTTTTGCATTCCGATGTCCTCAAAGTTCCGCACAACCAGCGGGCAAACTCCAAAATCTGGCTGGGTCGGTTCACGCATCATGTCAGGCCCTCTGTCCAGGCCGTCGACGAAGCTGGCATGAGCAGCGGTGATTTTGGACTCCGCGCCCATGAGGCATAAACGCGCGCACAGAGCGCAGTGCTCAGCCATTCCTGCTGACTGGACGGGCCCAGGAACAGGGCCACATGCAACAGACGAGGCTTCCTCGTCGTGCCCAGGAGCAAGGGGCGCCGCTGCCCAACCTGAACGCGCGCGCCAGTCAACCGCAGGGTCGAGCCCGGAGCAGTCGATGAAGATTTCGCTCCCGATGTGTCCAGAGGGCCCAGGCCTCCAAACATATCCTGCGTCTGGGCCCTCAAGAGGAGGTGGGAAGTCATCTCTTCTGCTAGAGGTCACATGCTCCAAGAGCGGACAATCTCCAGCACCGTGGTAATAGAGTGTAACTCTCCGAACTCCTGATCTCGCCACCATGCAGCAAGTCCAACGCAAGCGTGCAGCCTGTGCCCTATCGTCCCTGGCGCCTGCTGGCACCATAGGCATGTTGGGTCCAGCTCGTATACTTCCAAGAACAGCTTCGGCTGCGTCCAGGGGCCACCAGAACAATGGCGATAACCCGTTCAGCCTGGATGCTCTCCCCTCTGTCTCCCGTCCTGCGCAACTCCTCGCGTGCAGGTTCGTTGTGCGGGGCGCTGTTCCAAACGATATGTTTAGTGGCTTGCAATCCCTGGCTACGTCTAGCCGCGCGGTGCAACAGTGCCTTGGGCGCGCGAGTCCCCATGTTGCGGAGGTCAACTTTCAAGCCCCGGGGGCCCCTTTAGTGCGCGTAGCCATCTACAGCCCATCCTAATCTCCTGAGCGTCTGAATGGCAGCGCCTGCTGGTCCAGTGGCCGTAGCCCATCCAAGTTGAGCTGCTGCCACCGCCGCGTTCAAAATGGTCTGCATGCTGCTATCTGCGACCCACTGCTGGCGCAGCGCCACCAGCCATGTGATGGGCGGGGGCGTTTACGAGGTAGTCGGGGGGGGGGGGGGGTCGGCAAGGAGGCAGCGTGCAGCCCGAAATCTCCCTTTTGCTTTCCCAAAGAGTGCATATCCAGCAACGGCTCTGAGATCCTGGTGCCCCGAATCGTTCGCCCCCGCCCCCCTGGATCGTTCGCCCCCAAGATCTTGGCGGGCCCTTTCTTGTGGTGCTTCAAAGATCTACGCCGATGGGCCCGTCCCCAAACCCAAAGACATGCTTCCGGGGGCACAGGTTCCTTCCTCCTCGCCAGCCTGCCGAAGTCGCGCCCGAAGTTCTTGACGGGGCCATAGGCCGTGAAACGATACGTGGCCAACTGTCTCTGAAGTTGGTTGGCCAGCTGGCGGCAGGAGGCGACGATCTGGCACTCCATGCGTGAGGTCACCATTCCCATGTACTCCAGCCTGGAACAGACCTGAGGCACTGGTGCGGAGATTGTGCCTTCAACATATCTCATGGGCCTCGTGGCTTCGAGCGTGATATCGTCAACCATGACGCATAGCCCCAGAGAAGCCCAAGCACCTCGAATGTATTCCAGCGAACCCCGGAGCACACCGCTCAGCAGCGCGGTCGCACAGGGGTGCCCCGCTATGATGGAAAACGCGACGCGGATTGCGTCTGGCGTGGCCGACGCATGCCACAGAACATCATGGGGGATCTCCTCAAGGCATTTTCCATGTAAGTTAAAGCAGATGCTGGCGATGCTCCAATTGCTTGTGCTGTTTCTCCGACTGCTGCCCGTTGCCATAAGGCTCGCTCGCAGCTTTTCCCGTTTGCCCCCCGGGTGCAATCTAGGCGGCGATCAGCCTTGCATTGATGAGCTTCGTTCCTTACAATTGCCTAGTGCTCGGGGAGCGGCTGCAAGAATACCTATTGGCCGATAATCACCGCCTGCCCCCCCCCCCCCCCCCCCCCAGGCGTGCCAACAGGGCATGGTCGCACTGTCCTGGGATCAAGAATTGCAACTCTATGCGCGAGAGAAACTGGCCGCGCGCTGCGAGCGCGCCATCGCTCAAGAGCTTGAGCGAGGCCAGGCTCCACCCGCCAATGCCGACTGCAGTGTTATCCTTGAACTTCTTGAGGTCCTCTAATTTGGACCACTGCGGACGATGGGGGGGGTTCTCCTAAGAAAGGGGGCCTGAATGCTCAGCTGTGAGGCGCGATGGTTCCGCTTCGTGCCGAATACATTTCCACTCTTCTAACGGGGATTCGGTCACGTCGATCAGCCTGGCCGGCCCCGCGGAGCCCATTCGGATCTGGGGGCCCAACCAACTGGTTCTTTGATGTATATATATATATACACAGCACCGCCGCCCTTCTCGACCGAATCAGACACCCGCTGCCTCCAAACCTTGGCCCTGGCCTTCGCGGCGCACGACTCGGCGACAGCGGCGAACTCCTGGACCTGGCGCCCAAGCTCTCCGAGGTCGTCGAGCTCCACCCCGGCTCCTAAGACGATCTGAGACTGGTATTCCTGCCATCCTGGAACAATGACGAGGTGGGGCTGGGCACAGCAGATCTGACTGACGATGTCCTGGCCCCCTGGAGCCCCATCGATGGCATTTCCCCATCAGAAATCTCAGCCCCAGCCCCTCCGCCCAGGCGGCCAGCTTGCGGAGGGCTCTCGAGGCTTTGGTACACCTGGGGCACGGGCCCTTGACACTCCAAAACAAGCTGCGAAACAATGCGGCACCCAACGCCTCGGCCAAAACGCGGGGCACGATCCGCTTCTTTGATGCCTGGAACGTCGCAGAACTCGAGCTCCTGAATACTGCGCACATCAGAGCAGACCAAGTTAAACTACGCGGTCGTCGGCGTCGAATGGAAATCCTGAAGCCCACCAACAACGATCGCACTCCAATCCCTCGGCGGTGGTCAGGGTCCGAGCTCCGCGGGCATCTCGGCGGGAATGGGCTTTGGGAGCTTCAGAATCTGCTCGAGCTGCTGATGAGCTTGGGCTCTTAAAACTAGCTCCACTGGGTAAGGGGTCGTGTTCTCCGAGTCCTCGACCCCCTGCAACTCTGGACCGACCCCACGAGGTCGTGCGACACGACAAAGAAATCCAGCTCGCCCCAAGTTTTTCCGACACGACAAGTGGGTCTATTGCCATGGACAACCGCCCCCCTCAACATCCCAAGGATAGGGGCATTCTGGACTTCATTCAACATCTGCCTCCCTTTCTGCCCCCCGGACCCTTTCACCGTCTGGGGAATGCGTGCTCACGGGGTAGAAGCCACGTCGAACACAGTGACTAACCCACACAATATAGCTGCGTGCATGAGTCAAAAGTCCACGATGCTCAACTGCTTCGCCTACACCGACATGGTATTTGACAGCGATGCCCACGCCCGCGGATATACCGTCTTGCGGGGTCTGGAGAGCACCTGACAATATGAACTTCCATCCTTCACCCGAGATCATGGACTCCTTCTGCTCAGCTCCAGATGCCAAAACTTTGCACGCCTGCAAACACACAGCGTGGGCACTGCGTATGTAGTCATCCGTCAAAAGATGCATCGTTCCACTCCAGCCTGAAGCATTGGCGGTGGCGGTTTTCCTTTTAGTTGATGGGCTGGTAGGGGTACTCGACGGCTGCGGCTTGCCGTCTCCCGACTCCATAGCGGGTGGGCTAGGAGCAAGGCGCCTCAGCCGCTCCCAAAGCCGCGCTGCCCTTACTCCCGCCCTTGGAGAGGAGGTCGGCTGCCTTATGCCGCAAGGCTGAGACACGCTGGCCCTTGCCTCCACCGGCAGCGCCGTCGCCTGCCGAACCCACCAAAGGTGTAGAGCTCGAAGCCGCCGCTGCAGCCTGCCCTTGTCCGTCAGGTGGTGGTCAGCCCGCAGCATCTTCACCCTCCCCGTCGGTCTTGCGCTTCTTTCCTGACAGTCGTGCCTTGAAAGCTTCATGTCCTTTCTGGCACTCTTCTGGTTTAGGCTTGAGGCTGCCGAAGATTTGCTTGGCGAGGTCACCGAACTGCGTCTTGAGCTGTGCCTCTCGGTCCCGATCATCCTGGAGGTCGGTCTCGGAAATGTCGACATACTCGCTGAAACCGATGGGCCCTTCTCCACAATCTATATATATATATATATATATATATATCCCAACAATATTTGCCGCTGAAAATGTCCTCGAGACGCAGGACTGGCTTGGATGGCACCTGTGGCTTAGCCACAGTGCCATGCAGCTCGGTGGTGGCCTTGATGAGATATCCTCTTGCTTGCCCAAAATGTCGAGGGTGTCCTGGACAATATTGCCCTTCTCCTCGGCCTGCCTGTGCAACGCCTCCAACTCCGCCGTGTGCTTGATGAGGTCAACTTCCAGGATCTGGATGAGGTGGTGGCTCTGGTCGGCGCGGATCTGCGGGGCCACCTCCGACCTGTCCTTGATGACCAGCACATGCTGATAGTATTGCGCCAGATCGGTGTTCTTCGATTTTTCGGCCAACCGAATGAGCTGCTTGACTTCGCTGATGTCCACGTCTGGCCCCGGATCCTTTCCTCCACGGCGAGCGGTGCCCTCACAGGAGCGCCCCCAGACCAGGAGGAGTACCCAATGCATTACCAAGGTATTTGTCTTGATCTTTGCCTTTCTTGTGAACTTTCCCTGTGCGCCTGTGTTTCCCGAAATGCTTGCAGTGGGCAGCTGTGTACAAGGACTTGTTGCACCCACAATGCTGACAGCGCCAGGTGGACTCGTCTCCATTCCATGCCGCATGTGCGCTGGGTGCCATACTATGGATGAGTAAGGTCTCCGCTGAGAGGCCTCCTCACCCTGGGCAGGGCTTCTGGTCGAGGGATTGGCACAGGTCCCTCAATCTCTCGAGCCCCAACCCCAGGGGAGGCGAATCCCCAGGCAATGGCCTTCAGCCAGGCTACGGAGTCCTCCTCCTCCTCCTCCTCGCCCCCTCCTCCTCCTGCTCCTCCTCCCCCTCCTCCTCCTCCTCCACCTCCTCCTCCTCCTCCTCGCTCCCTCCTCCTACTCCTCCTCCTCCTCCTCCTCCTCCTCCTCCTCCTCCTCCTCCACCTCCTCCTCCTCCTCAAAAAAAAACCATCTGACCCCGCTGCCTGGGTAAAAGGTGATGTGCGCAGCAGGTTTCGCGGCTCCCCACTTCTCCCTGTCTCACTTTTCCTCCGACCCAATACCGGAAGACGGGTCGGTCGAGTCCTCCACCTCCAGGTACTCCTTGGCCGCCTTGCTAAACACCTCGGCCGGAACGGAAGCAAGGAAAAGGTGAACACTCCTTCCCCTCTTCCCTTCTTCTCCCTGCCTTGCCTCCTCCTCCTCCTCCTCCTCCGCCTCCCTCCTCCTCCACTGCTCGCATCATTTTCCTACTCCTTCCCCTCCTCCTCCTCCTCCTCCTCTTCCTCCTCCTCGTCCAGCTCGTCTGGATCTTCCTCCCCCCCAGCTCGATATAGTGTTGTTGAATGATTTCCCCATGACCAGCCCTGGATCCTGAGTAGCTTGCTGACGTTCCCGAGGCCTGGCGAGGGCCCCCAAGCGCCGAGAACGGCGATCAAACTCCGCGTTGATATTCGATACAGTGGAGACTCATGCCAAGAAACACCCTGCTTGCCTCCAGGGTACCCTGGGTTTCTTGGTTCTCGATGCAATTGCAACGGGAAGCGTGACGTTCCCACACCTGAAATCCATGGACGTCCTGGGGTCTCAAGGTTGGGTTTCCTGTGGACGGTCTCTTGTGGTCGGGCCCCTACTGCACTTTTGAAAATTGGGTCCCATCCTCCGCTTCCGCCTCCGCTTCCGCCCCCGCCTCCTCCTGCTCTTTTTTTTCCAGGGGCTCTCGTTTCACCCCCACCAATCTATGGCCGAAGGTGCTACACGAAAATGCAACATCAACCTGCGCCACTACTCCGCTTCGTCATGAGGCTCAAGTCTCGGCGGCCAGACGCAGGTAACACCAAAAGTCCCCTCATGACATGTAATGTGATGTGACTTAAATGTGCTTCTAACCTGGGCGACCAGTCGCCCACTTCCGCTTTCAGGGGGACCAGGGGGGCAAGGCGTGGAGAGATGTGTTGGACTCTTAGGCCACGGGGGTTTTCCCGTCAGCCGCTGGAATCGCTGCTGCTCGCGGATCATGTCGCAAGGGGCTCCCAGAGCCCTGGCCTGTCCAGAAGTGTATGCCCCGCAACGCATTCACTTCATAATGAGAAGATCCGTCTCTGGCACTGCACACATGCATCCTATGAGGTGTGGTCATCTGAATACCCCTGAGCTTAAGCAAGGAAGGCGTCAGGGCCGCACACTTCCCAAGGACCGCCTCGTTCGCGGCACATTCAACACATCTGACGCAAAGCCACCTAGATCCGTTCCAAAACACTCGGCGAGCGCGGCTGCTGGAGGGCCTCGGAACCAACAGCTCAGACAGGGTTCGGTCAAGCTTCCTGAGCAGCTCTTGGGCCCTGGGGAGATCTACCTAAATATTAGCTACTTCTGATGCAACCTCATTCTAGCCGTCGAGGCACATTTCGTATATACGGTAAGTCTCGAGTGCTTGGGGATGTTGCTTGGCACCGTCTTCAACATATTCGTATGCTCGGTCATTCCTGTTAGGTCCCTGAAGCCCGCCCCGTGAAAATCTGATCCGTCACATGGGCCTTGACCTTAAAAATAGTCAAGATGGATAACCGGCAACAAAAAGAGCGCGCCAGACTTCCGCCATTGGGCTCAAAGCTCAGGTGGCCTGCAGCAGGTTCTACCAACATGAAAATAGTGACTGACAGTCATCATGGATAATGAAAAGGGTTATCATCGTCATCGTCACTGGGGTCATCAGAGAGGTCTTGTAGGGCCTAGAGTAGAGCATAGCAGTCACCGAAAGCAGAAGACTGGAAAAGAAACCCAGGGATGTTGCCATACACTGCTTGTAGGGAATTCCCAGAATCATCTGAAACAATCACAGCGCAGCCTGCGCTTGCCACCTGCTCGTGTTCGCCCCCACAGAAAAAAATGACAGAACAAATCTGGACGCGCTTATAGAACCTGAAGTTCTGAATAGGCCCACCAGGGCCAGGGGTTTTGATATCCCGTTAAGCGCAGGTAATCAAGTACTGCTGAAGAATACGTCTTGTTCCCCCGCCTCTCTTTCTGTCTGGGCCTGGGCCCACTCCGTCAGTAAAAGCCCCCCCTCTTTTCGGAGAGGGCCGGGCATTCGAAGACCCGGCGCCGTACACTATCGATACCGCCGCCTGCTGGAGTCCTGCGGAAACGGCAATGCGGCTCCACCAGATATCGCCATCTGTGTAGATGGTAGTCTGTGACACACCTTCTAGTGAGCACATGCTTGAATACTCTCCTGAGGTTCTTCGGCTCTCGCCGTTCCAAACGGCCTTCTTGGGGGCTGTTCGCAGACTTCGGGCTAGGGTGTCGTTAGCACGCTGGTGTTCAGTAGATGATAGATGTCTCATCATGCTCGACGCCACCATCTCCGTACCCAAGTCCTTCACGAAATGGTCAGACACCTGCACCTACGTACGGGGCGACCCATTTCTCATAGAAACATCCCAGAGACCCTCAAAAACCAACAAGAAGACCAATACGCCCTTTTCAGCCAGAGAGGCATATCACTGGCAACTTCCCCCGAGAAGCGGTCCCAGGATCCCTGGCCGACCCCGCAGGCGCTCAGGGGCCCCCTGCCGCTGCCCCTCCTCCCCCCCTCTCCTCCTCCTTCTCCTCCTCCTCGTCCTCCTCCTCCTCCTCCTCCTCTTCTCTTCCTCCTCCTCCTTTCTCCTCATGCTGGTGCTCCTCCTTTTTCTTCTGCACGTCCTCCCTCATCCCCGGACCTTCCAGGGGGGACGCGGGACAGCACTCCATCCACTGAAGACAAAAACCCAGGTTTCTGCACAGCCCTGATCGGTCCACAAGCGCGAGCGGCCATGAAGGAGGCGCGGGCGGCCATGCGGGAGCACGCTCGAATTCAGGGGCCACCGTTCCTGCGGAAGAAGCAGCAATAATCGATCGGTCCTCGGCTCTCTCTTACGATTCTCGCACACGCTCGCGGCCTTCGCCTTCTGAACCTCCAGGAGGGTCCACGAGGCCCTCGAGCTCGCGCCGACGCGGCTCGCAAGGCGCCCCGGGTGGCCCCGAGAGGAGCCCAGGAGATGCCGGGGGGGGGGGGGCGCGGCCTCGGGCGTGCCCCGGCCCGCCTGGTGGAAGGACGTGGAGGAGCCAGCTCCGAGGAGGAGGAGTGGAACAGCACGAGCAGAGAGGAGGAGGAGGGAGGAGGAGGAGGAGGAGGAGGAGGAGGAGGACGCGGCGGCGGCGGCGAAACGATGTCGGGCCGAATGCCTCAAGCGCCTGGCGACCACATAGGAACACGCGGGATTGCACTATGTGCGACCAATCGTGCGCTTTACAGGCGGATGATCCACGGCCCCACCCAGGAGGGGGGAACCCCGAGTTGACTTCGCTCGACCCCACTCACGAGCAACACCTCGGAAAAGACGCAAGACAGGGCCTGGAACCCCAGGGGAAAAGGCTAAGTTCTCGTCGCGAGAGCGACCAAATCTTTAAAGCTCAGCTTGGAGGACGAGGGAGGATTCGGAGGGCGCAAGAAGGAGGCTCGAAGGACGAGGACGGGGAGGAAGGACAGCGATCGCAGCAATACAGCGGGCGGCCTCCTGGGACGCGGGCGTCACGGGGCCCGTGCGTTCAGTCGACGCGGCTATCCTCGTCGAGCAATCTCCCGATCCGCAGGGCGCACGCACCTGCGAGGAAGTCCTGGCCCTCTGCGGTGCAAACGTCGTCGACACACTCCCAGTTGGCGACGCCCTCCCCTTCGGCGCGACCCTCCCAGTCGGCGACGCCCTCCCAATCGGCGCCGTCGAAGCAAAACAGGTCCCCGAAAACGTTCTCGCCCGCGCCGATGCCAACAGATACTGGACCGCATCTTCACTCACGGTACGCTTTTCGTCCTGAGAGTCCGACACGCTGTCCATGGGGCGCCGAACTGCAGCAATTCTCACAATACCCTTCTTATCCTGAGGAACGCGCGTTCCAACGCCGCGTGGCGACTGAACCTGGGCCGACCGCGAGGAGCAGTCGCCCGGGAATTACGATCTAACGCCCTGTCGGGAAGGGCGGTCGTGCGTTCTAACATCTCGTCGCGACTCAACCTGGAATAGACTCGAGGAGCGTCTGCCCAGGATTAGCGATCTAACGCCGAGCTGGGGAGCGCCGTGCGTCCTAGTGCCGCGAGGCGACTGAACCTGGGGCGACCTCGAGGATCAGTCGTCCAGTTTTTGCGATATCACGCCCTGTCGGGGAGGACTGTCGTGCATTCGAACGTCAGGAGGCGACTGGACGCGGGTCGAACTCGAGGAGCAGTCGCCCAGGATTTGCACTCTAACGCCAGGCTCAGCTGAAGATTGCGCCCGTCCAGCGCGAGCTGCAGCACCCGTTATGCGTGGCTGCGCGGAGCCATGCCTGGGCGCACCTGGCCTCCCGTCTGGGTCGCGCACTCCTGAAAGCACCTCGCCGCCGCTGGGTCGGACAGGCAGGAGACCACCTTGGCGAGCCCCTCCTTGAACGCGCTCGAAACGCGAAAACCCTTGATCAGCACCGTCAGGTCCGAGATCGACTGCGCGCCGTCCAAGCGAGCCTGATGGTCCTTTCAGTTCTTGGCGTTGGCCATGCCTACCTTCTCGCCCGCGTCGCTCACTTTCTTCGCCACTGCCGCGAAGACCTGCGCACGCGCTGGTCCCATCGGCACCTCTGGGGGCGGCTTGCCGGGGTTGCCCGGATTCCCCTGCCTGAGCCTCGCCGCCTGTAACGCGTAGCCAGGGCCTCCTGCGAAGCCAGCATGGATCAGCTCGTTCTTTCGGGCATCGCCATGGTCGCGAACCCGGCCGCCATCGCCATCCTCGGCGTGAAACAGATGCCCAAGACCGCGCGCATCAGGATCGGGAGTGCTTTGGCCATTGTCTGCGAGTCCATCGGCGGAAGCCTGTCGATCGTGTCTGCTGGGAGGCTGTAGGACTTGCCTGTCGCCGTGGCATGGTCCCTCCGTGCCGCGGGCGCAGCGCGCGCCTGCGGCTGAGCCGCGCCCAAACGCGCTGCCCGCGGCTGGCTGCTGCGACCCCCGCCTCCGCGGCGCCTCTGCCGCGCTGGCGGGGGGCGGCTGCCGGGCCAGAGCGGTGCCTGCGCGAGCCTCCTGACCTGGAACGTCCGTTCGCCGTCGCCATGAC